GCCTCTGTGCAGTGGTAAATATCACAGTGAAAATAATAGCACAGCTTAGATTTGTAGATGAATTTTCCATTTGAGTTATGCAGTTGTGTTATCCATTGCTGGCTATATTTTTATCCATTCGACTTTGTTATCATGCGAACCACGCTACGGTTACGTAGGCTAAAGCTCTTGACTTTATCCTACTTTAATCAACTATTCCTGCATGGAGTCATCAATATTTCTGACCAAATATTCAGAATATGGATGCTTTTAGATGCAGACTTTCAGTTTGAGTGGACAAAATATCCAGCAGCTAACTTACCTGCCACAGGTTGTTTTGGGATCGTTTAGATTAAAACTTATAATTGCTATCCATCATGCAAGTTGAATTTTTGTCAACGGAACTATCTGCCTTTGATAGTAATATGAATTATTTGGCTAGATATGTCTCAAACTCGTTATTGTTTCACTTAACTACTCTTTGTTAGGGATATATCTTGTACATATCATCGCACCGAATGGAGTCTCGATATGTTGCACGCATGAATTTCCAAAATCATTTTGGTTGACTGCAATTTTTTTAAATTGGATTATTTTTTGAGACCAAATAATTCTTAACTAAGAGCTAAAGTTACTATCTATGCTCTATGTTGCATAAAGTGATTTGAGCACTCATACTTGAACTTTCTTATAACGAAATGAATGAGCCATACGTGACTCAGTCTTTAAATCATCTTAAACCACCTAGACTGACCTAAATGACTTAAAATTTCAAATAATAGCCAACTTGATGCTTCATAATTGAGCGCTATGCAATACATATTCTTTCAATACTTCTCATTATTTCTTCGAATTATGGACTTTCGCTTATTTCAAATATTTTTGATACCTAACGAAAGCATTTATTTTTATTTGCGTAATCGAGTGGGTATCTCTTGATATCTTATTTTCCGTATAAGTAGAGTTTCGAAACTATCAGTAAATCAGTTATACGAGATGTGTTCATTCGTAGTAGAATTTTCCCCCAATGATATGAGTAAAGCTGACGCTACCTTTGAATTTCGAATAAACTTGCTTTTCCAAAAGTTGTTCTCATCCAGGTTGGACTGCAGTTTAGAACTCACATAGGTCTTATCAACAACCTCAGTGAGAGTCGAACCGTGACAGTGCAGCATGTGAGCCTAACACGCTAATCACTCGTCCCCATTGCCACGAGTGTATTTGAATCACAGGGCAGATGCCAATTTCAAGGAAGGCCGTGCCATTTTCAACATCACATTTTTTGGTGGGATTGTCGATGAAGCCAACGTATTTTTGCTATAGAAATCAATTATATTACTTATTTTTCGTATAAGTAGAGTTTTGAGACTACCAGTACATTAGTTATACGAGATGTGCCTTGTGACCCAAGGATACTCGTGGCAATATGGCCGAGTGGCTAACGTGTCAACCTCCCATTTTGCACTGTCACGGTTCGACTCCCGCTGGGGGTGTTGGTAAGACCAATGCGAGGTCGAAACTGCAGTCCAACTTGGATGATAACAACTATTGGGAAAGCAAGGCTCTGTGAAACTCAATTGAAACGTCAGCTCTACTCATATCATTGTGGGAAAATTCAACTACCAGTCCTTCGTCCCCTTAAACGAAATATGGTGAATACATCTCGTATATTTATTGATTTATATTTTTCTCTTAGAATGTTTTTGAAGAGCTTTAACGAAGCCTCAACTGAAGCATTTCTCCATCTAAATCATCTAATTGCTGTAAATTCCTCTAAATAGAAGCTTGTCCCAAAAAATATTTAAAGTCTAGCTATCCTATAATTTCACTAAGGCCTTGGAATCCTTCATATTTCATTAAGTATTAATCATTAAAACTTTTCCAATGATCAATATAGGAGCCTATTCTGCAACAGTACCTTATCGGCGCGATCCGTTTGGCTGGTCGCTACGATACAATATTTCCAACTGGTGTGAGCGGTCGGTCTGCTCTACTTTACAAAATTATCGAGACCCTTTATGTTCTCGGTCTACGAACCGGTTTCGAAATGACCCGCACCCAAATGACTTCAGCCTTCCAACTTTTCTTTGCCAACTTCGATCGAGCCGCGGCTTTACATCTCGCATCATCGTATCCGTCACCAAATTTGTCTCCACAGCGTACACCATCATCGTCCAGCACCTTCGTCTCATCCTCGCCGAAAGACCATGACTTGGCCATATCAACTCCTTCAAATAACCATTTCAAGCCCCCTAACTCCATTTCAGCCTTTGGTGACAAATCCCAAAATCATGAATATAACGTTTGCTCTTCATTCAGTAACAAACCAATAATGGCTAATACTGCTCTTGCATCTATATGCGACAGTATTCCACCGAGCCAAAACTCAACTACTGCTAGTTCTGCTTCTGTTGCTGGTACCATACGTAAATCTTATCAATTTCTTCTTTGTTTATTGTATCCTTTATCTAGACGAAACATTTTAGCCTAATTATAATTCTGGATAGGATGAAATAAATGAATGATACTGGCATACTTTTTTCCGTTTGATAAGGAATTCGTAGATTCTCCTCGCCGAATATAGAGGGAGGGTTGCTCTAGACTTTTGTCTGTTGAATTGTACGAAGACTACCTTGGTTCACCATCTTACGACCCCGATGACTCCGTGCTGAGCTTTTGTCCGTCATATGAAGGACATCGTCGGAGCCAGAAACCATTATTCACGAACAATCACCGAGTCATCGGGGTCGGAGGACGTTGATATGAGGTCTTTTTCGCAAAATTCAACATTCAAAATTCAAAGCAACACTCCTTCGATATCCTGTGAGGCCAATCTACGAGTCCCTTCCATCCGTCTTCTTAAATGAGATGAAAGATATGCCGGTATCAATATACTAAGGGATTCTTCGAAACCCTGATTCTCTTCATATCTTAAAAATTAATGAAACTACGCGTCCGGTTGCTACAAGATTATGTGCTCCTATGGTCGATCTTAGGTGGGTGAGACATGCTTGCTTATCCAACAAATATTGAGGGAACACAAAAATGCATATAAAGGAAACTGAGTCCAACGGTCAAAATTGACGCAACACGCAGATCAAAGACTAGGCATGAGATATAATGGTCTCATACTATTAGCTTTGCTGATTTTGGTACGCCTGCTGTTAAAAGAAGGCTAAAAGAGGTTATTGAAATTAATAGATTAAGGAATACGTTGGATGTGCAGAATGGTGGTAGAAAGTTGAGTAAGAAATACTTATATTTTAATGATAGATTGTAAGGGAGAGAGGATGTTGAGCCGCCATCAAATGGAAGGTTCTAACTTCACTCAAATTCGTCCAACCTGTTAGAACAAGTTGTTTGACCCTGTTTTCGCAAATTGGTCATATTAGCAGGAACACCTAGATGAACGCACCTTGTCCGGAGTCCGTTGTATGCATGATAATTTCCAATGTCGGACCGTGGACTTGGTACATTCCTAGACGTCTCGACGGCATCGTCAATGAGACTTCTTAGCATTGCACTACAACTCTCCAAAGAGACAAATGAAGTCGATCGTTTGGCCAAATGTGTGCTAAACAGTTGTGATATATCTTCTCCTGTCCTAAGCTATTCACCTATCCTATATTCTCGTATCCCCCGTTCAATATCCCAATTTCTTACTTGTTTATCTAGACCTATTTGAAATCGATTAACACTCCCCACTGGTGCCTCATTCCTCCCACTGTACTTGGAGTGTTGATCCAAGGCTGTGGTTTAATCCGCAATCCTCTCTCTTCGGATCCTATCAGTCTCCTCTTGCTCCATAAGATCCTTCCCTTATCTGCATGCTTCAGTGCTTTCACTTCAACGCTGCCAGCGTATCTGTGCTACTTTCAAGACGTTGTTCTACACTGCCTCAAACCTTTAATAGCACGTATACACCACCATCACCCACCGTAGCACGGATACGGTGGTAGCGTTGAAGTGAAAGCACTGAAGCATGCAGATAAGGGAAGGATCTTATGGAGCAAGAGGAGACTGATAGGATCCGAAGAGAGAGGATTGCGGATTAAACCACAGCCTTGGATCAACACTCCAAGTACAGTGGGAGGAATGAGGCACCAGTGGGGAGTGTTAATCGATTTCAAATAGGTCTAGATAAACAAGTAAGAAATTGGGATATTGAACGGAGGATACGAGAATATAGGATAGGTGAATAGCCCAGGACAGGAGAAGACATATCAAAACTGTTTAGCACACATTTGGCCAAACGATCGACTTTATTTGTCTCTTTGGCGAGTTGTAGTGCAATGCTAAGAATGGCAAGGCTCATTGAAGATGCCGTCGAAACGTCTAGGAATATACCAAGTCCACGGTCCAACATTGGAAATTATCATGCATACAATGGACTCCTGACAAGGTGCGTTCCTCTAGATGCTCCTGCTAATATGACCAAATTGCGAAAATAAGGTCAAACAACTTCTATACAGCGAAAGGAGACCACGACCATACAAAAGGTCACACCATCCTGGTCTCCATACCTACGACTGTTAAATTAAGCTCATCAACCAAACCAGGCGTACCAGATTACGCAGCCGACCCTTTATTAATTACCTTAGGACAGGTGGTTTCTTATTATGCAGTTACAAGCCTACATGTCAATTTCTCAACCATACTTGATTACGGACTTACACAGTTCAGGCCAGGATTTTTTCTTTGATCATAAAGCCTTGGTGACCAGAGCTCAACATTAGCCTTTTTGACATCTGATTTAGGACCGGTATTGCGTACATATACTCGAGCATAAGTAGTAGGATGAATTTAAAATATAATTTGCCAAACCATTATATATCTATCTATTCCTCTTAATTTTCTTTTGCTTAATTGAGACTATATAAGAGGTAAGGTAAAGCCGAATAGTCTTCTTTACCTAGTGTGAACGTGAGACTTGTTAGAATGAGCTCCAAATCTGATGATGTACATCATATGATGAATGAAAGCTCATTCCGTTTTCACACGATACGAGGGAGGTTTCGTGGACTGCGCCAACTTAAACGTCATATTAAAGCCAAACAGCTGCAATACAACGGGATTCAGTCGTCCTCTTCTGGTGAGATCGACGTTTAAATCTCTTCATGCACTTTCATACGAAATAAAAGTCTCCGACACACTTGCTATTCATTCATTGATGAGGCCACAAAAGGGCAGACATTTTGACGAGTGGAATATAAACAAGTCAGAAGTTGTGATATGGTGGCAGTGGGATATGAGGGTAAACAGTAGATAGATAGGCCAGGACAGAAAGAGCAGTGAAAGTGTAACAGTTTTCTGCAGAACGTTTGTCGAGGGATTGGCTTCACTTGCCTCTTTGAGGAGTTCGTAGTTTGGTGCGGAGATTGGCAAAACTCACTAATGATGCCGACTACGATGCCGGCGAAACGTTTGAGAATGTACCCAGTCCATTGTCGGATACTGGGAATCATGACAACTAAGATGACAGAGGACTTCGGACTAGGTGCGTTCTACTAAGTCGCCCTGACGACAAGACCACGTTGCGACAACGAGGTCAGCCCACGTCCATAAATCGAAAGGAGACTGCGACCATACCAGAGGACACAACATCTTCGTCTTTATATCTTCAATTTAAAAAGTATTGTCTCACTTTATGAAGCACAATTTTGACGATTCGTTGACCTCTGCTGAGGATAGCGCCGCTACTGATGATGCAGATCGAAATAGTGGCAGTACATCTGAAAATTTACCCAGTGCTCCAGTGCTGATATCGAGATTCGAAGGTCGATCTCACCAGAGGACGACGGCTGATTGCCATTGTATCTCAGCTGTTTGGCTCTAATACGACGTTTGGATTGACGCAGTCCACGAGACGTCCTTCGTTTCGGGTAGAAATTAACCGTGCTTTCGTCCATCACCAGAGCTGATACTCATTATTGTAAAAGTCTCACTCAAACACTAGGTCAAGAGGTGTCCCAGGCAATAGGAGTGACAAGCAGGAAAAGAGAGTCTGGTAACTGAGTGATCGTAGATCATAGGCCAAGCTGCCCTAAAGAGCTGCAGGAGTGAGAATAACATCCGGAATGAGGCTATCGTGCACGTTCTATCATTCGTTCGGGAACCTAGTGAATAAATCTTCGATTATCACGTTTATTGTGGTCTTAATCGAGTAATAGCTAGCCAGTCGAACAGAACAGGAGGAAATTATTGACATTAGTTTGGAGAAGTAATTTTCTCAGTAAATAACCTATTGAGATTAGGTAGCCTTACAGACAGAATGGTGGTGAAAATGATTGCGCCTCACTAAATCTACTTGAAGGTCAACAAATTTGGAAGATTGAAACAAATTAAGTTATGGATTGGTGTATTTAGGGAAATTAGTCATACAAAGTGGAATTGAGAATCGAGGCTGTGTGGCTAGAAACCTACGTCAAAAGGGTTACGGAGAGGCATCAAAAGTTGAAGAGAAAATTGGTTGACTCTTAATTCTGACGATGTCAGATAAACTTCTGGTAATCTAGTGAGTCGACGTTTCGATGCTGGAAATTATCGTGACTTTTAACTCAGGTGGCGTAGTACTAGCTGCTTTTTGCAAAGTCTCCCTGTCACTTCGACTAAGTTGTACAAACTCAGCACCAGAGTGTGTTGATATATTATAAATTCATTATCATTCCCTTCTTGATATTGGTCTCGCTCATTAAGTTATCCTGGATTTCGTCATTTTTTGCTCTCGTTTGTGTTCATTTGGCTACGGGTATTTTGTTATTGGAGTTTCACTTTATTGCAAGTATGGTACCATTAAAGTTTATTCACCGGACATCCTTGGTTTTATAGAAGACTGCGACCATACTAGAGGCCACAATATCTTGGTCTTCATATCTTTGTTTTTACTTGCATTTACTATTCCATTAATTCACATACATATAAATATTCCAAACCTGGGTCAATCTAGCTAGCTCTTCTGTAACGACCACTTCAACGTCCATCTCATCCGGCTACTTTATCATCCAGTTGGATAGACAAACCTCGCAGGTGACCGTATCCACAACATCTGTCAGCCTGGACCCTTCTACCAGTCAAATGGTGATTCAGTCGCCAATCGTACAGCCTAAAGATTTGCACGCATATAAGCCTACTGACTGGCTTGTTGAAAACGTGGAGCCGATTGGAAGTGGTAACTTACAATCAGGAGCGCTTCTGCCTGAATTTACTTCTACTTCCTGCTCCTCTCTATCTCAAGATGTATCCAATACTCTATCTGAGCAGTTATCGGTGTCCACAAAATCTGGAATCCCTTGTTCTTATCTGTCCGTCAATGCCTCTTCCGCTGGCACTACTCATGCTCTTTTTCCCCTGAACAGTGGCGACTATTCTACCAGCGATAAACCAAGCATCTATGCCATTACCTCTCCCTCTACGAATGAATCTATCAAACTGAGCCAGAACTTGACGGAAACTGAAGTTTCCAATCGCCGTGCGATTTGTGAGGAACTGAGATTAACATTCAATGCGAAGATGGCTTATCTTGCATATATCCCTTTTTGCAGACTTGCTGGTATGTTCTTTTTGATATCTTGATTTGGCTCATATACTCTGGCGTAACATTCTATTTGTATATATGTGGGCTCGGCCACAGTCTCCTTTAGCTGTGTAGTATTAATTTAACCTCTTTTTGACCCTGTCTGGGGTAACAATTAGGCCTTGTAGAACTCATACATTCCTGCATCATTTGTCATTGTGAAATTCATTATATTTTTCATTATTTGGAGCATTCCTCGCTGATGTCATATCCCATGTTATATGATATTTTGTCAGCCATTAATGTTAATAAATCCTTAATTATTATAGAATGAATTGCCGAAATTGTGCGATTATATACAGCCAGTTAGGTAAGAAGCTCACTGGACGGAATCCGAAGCCTGTTGTGAGGTTTATCACGCTCCACTAGACACGGAGATGTATAGATAGGTAAATTTGTTATGGATGGATATACAGAACTGGAAGTTAGGATAAGGAGAGGAGAGTGGCTACAACGGTTGTTCATAAAGTTGGTCAAGAGAATTGCTTTAACTTGTCTCTGGTGGAGTATTGCTTTTTGCTTAGTATCGCGATTATCACTGCAAATGCCGGTGTAACTTTCGGGAATGTACCGATTTATCGGTTCTATATATGAAATTATTGAGATTTATATGTTAGATGACTTAGGGCGGAGTATGCTTTGTTGCGGGGACTTTTGTTTTGTATGAAAGTGCAGGAAGAAAAATTCGTGGATCGATCTCACCAGAAGACGACGAATGAATCATGTTGTACTGCAGTCGTTTTGATTTTATACGACGTTCAGGTTGACGCAATCCACGAGACCTCCTCCCTCGTTTTAGGTGAAAACAAGCTGAGATTTCGTCCATCATATGATGGACATCATCAGAGCTGGGTCTCATTATTGTATAAGTCTTACGTTAACACTAGGGCAAGAAAACTATCCAGCTCTATCTTGCCTCTTATATAGAAACAATTAAACCAAAAGTAGCAGGACCATTATGAAAGATAATTAGTCAAACCACTCTATATCTATCTAGGTTTTTAATTTTCTCAGCTTGTTTTTACCCGAAACGAGGGAGGAGGTCTCGTGGACTGCGTCAACCTAAACGTCGTATAAAAGCCAAACGGCTGCAGTACAACGGGATTCATCCGTCATCTTCTGGTGAGATCGACCTACGAATCTCTTCTTTATGCATTTTCATACAAAATGAAAATCCGTCCAACTGGTATTTTAGGAGATTCATCTAAACCCAATTTTCCTGAGTATGTTTTACAAAATCTCCCTGTTAACTCGACCAAGTTGTCAATATGAGATCAAGGCTTCATTAAATTTTCCTAGGTCTATTTAAATACAAGCCCAGCCTACGTTTTCCCCCCAAGACAAAGTATTAACCAAATACTCTTTTTAGTTTCAAAATTATAATTATTATTAATTATAGATTTATATTGCAAAGGGATCTGTGTTGCTCTTCCTAAATATGCTATTTAATTGGGATCATTTAAAGATATTTCAGGAATGGCGTCCTTTTGTAAACGTTAATTTTTTTTAATTCTCTGATCTTACCAATAGGTGGTATTCATGTGGACAGAAACCTATACAATAGCGAACTCATACATAATCTTGTTGACTCCTACGAGGGCACTCTAATGCAGTCTGCTTCCCAAGTCTCCATCTGTTTAGATGGTGAAGAAGGTAAACCAAAAGGATCAGCCGAGCGGCCATCTCACATCTGCCATGAATCCCTCTTGGAAAGTCATTCTCTACTGATTTATCCTTTGGGCTTATTCGTTGGATTGTCTTCAATTCAACTCATATCAGTCTTTTTACTAACCACAGCTTTCGTATACTCCCCAAGACGCCTTATATTTGCTAATTATTCCTAAAATCTAATTACTTTGGGCGATTCACATTTGGCTAGCTTAACGTTTCGACCCTAAAGTACTCATTTTAGTTTAATCATTGCCCTTAAGTTATTTTTACATAATGGAGCCTTAACAAAATATATTTGCTATTCGTTTAATCATAATCACGGATTTTTTACTCTTGCATTATTTGTTATGTATTTTTTATACGAATCGAGTGATTTCCGTATTACGCTTTTGGCTTCAAGACTCCATATACTTGTGGTCTCTTAGCGTAAGTTGAGTATTCCTATTTTAATACCAAGTTATTTTAACTTGTTACTAAACTTTAGTCCATTAAGAGGAGCATTCTTAATATTAGAAAGAAAAGCAAGTATTTAATGCATTTAATAATTAACCGTATCATAGGAATGTGGCAATAAAGGTTTTATATAATTGGACGCAATTACCAATAAGATTCTTGTCTATTGGGAATTTATTATTATGATCTACTGATGCATGTTCGTTGGTTATTTTGTCTAACACTTATTTAACTGATATTTTCTTCATGTAAGCATGGGTATTTAGGATTTACACACTAGATATTTATGAATGCCTTTTTATATCGTTTTCAGGCTGCTGACTCACAGGTTCTCTGCCGTGTTCTGCCTAGTCACATTGGTGGGGCGTGGACACATTATTTTCAGCGTGAATTCCAGCTAGATGCCTCTCAAAGGCGTTGGAAGACCGCCAAGTTTCAGCAAGCAAAACTTCTGAGTCTTGTCGGTCAGTTGCGCTTATTCATGATCACTTAATCTTAAGCCCTTTCCATATTTGCCTAGCTCTATAGATTTATTGTCACCAAATGATTACTTAAGCAGTCATAATATCCTTTGCATCCACCAATTTCTGACTTGGTCGGAGGGTCAGGAAGATCTTGTAGAACGTACCTAGTAGCGTGTCCTCTGCCATTGTATTCGTAATTTCCAGCATCGGACCATCGGCTGGATACATTCCAAAACGTTTGCCGGCATCGTCAGTGAGAGGCGCCGTCGTGAGCACAGAGTTACAATTTATCAAGTTGACAAGTGAAGCAATACCCCTTACCAATTTTATGGTCAATCGTTGCGGCATCACTCCTTGCCCCTATTTTTTGTTCCACTCTCTAGTGCTGCATCTCTTTCTCTCAACCACACTTATATGGCCCATCCACTTATTCACACAATTATGTTCTCTCGTTTCCTTCAATGTCGCCTAAGAGTGTGTCGCTACAACCAAATGTGTTTATTGAAACGTAATCATCTCCATCACCTATACCAGATGCCTTTTGCAGGGCTCTTGGCCTAAATTTTGCCCCCCCTTTTTTTCCTCCCGGTGTTAAGTCTCAAAATCACTTTTTGGCTGTCTGAAATCTGACTGCCTAAAAACTTTCCATTCCTG